AAAAGAACGTGGAAGTGTTAAAATGTGTGTAATTATGCAAACATTTTGATGCTATTTTCTGCACTGCTGGTTTTAAATATTGTTTTAAATATTTTATTTAAAAATTTTATTAACATTATTTGCTCAATGCTTTTGTGATGAATTAAAATTTTTTTCAATATTCTTTGTTCTCATACAATTGAATGTACTGATTTTCTTTTTATTTTTAGTGGTTATAAAAATAGTACATGCTGTTTGTAAAAACACAATCATTGAAAACATCCACACAAAAACCTGCAGTTACTTAGTTTTATTGATAACTGTCAAAACTTGGAAGCTACCAAGATATTCTTCAGTAGATGAATGAATAAACAGGTACATGCAGACAGTGGAGTATTATTCAGTTCTAAAAAGCCACAAAAAGGCACAAAGGAACCATACATGGCTATTACTAAGTGAAAGAAGCCAATCTGAGGTTACATTCTTTATGATTCCAACTGTATGACATTCTGGAAAAGGCCAACCTGGGGGCAGTAAAAACATATATGGTTACCAAGGGTTGGAGGGGAGGGAAGGAGGAATGAGTAGGAGGACCAGGATTTTTCGGGCAGTGAAAATACTGTGTATATTAATGGTGGTTAGATGGCATTATATATTTGCCCACTCATAGACTGGACAACAAGAGTGAACCCTAATTTGTCAACATAGATTTATCAGTTGCAACAAATGCACCACTCTGGTGGGGATGTTGATAATGGGGGAGGCTTTATCAATGTGTAGTGGTGCAGGGGTATGTGATGTATCTGTACCTTCCTCTTAATTTTGTTGTGAACCTAAAACTGCTCTAAAAAGTCTAAAACACAACAAAAAAAAGGGAAAGTCTGAGAAAGTATTACAATTAAATAGACACGCCAACTACATGTAATCTGGCATCCTGGATGAGATACTGGAACAGAAAAAGGACATTCGGTAAAAAATAAATCTGAATAAAATAATGGACTTTTAGTTAGCAATGATGTATCAATATTGGTTCATTGGTTCGTTAACAAATATAACTATAGTAATGTAAGATGATAATAGAGAAAGCTAGGTGTGGGGTATATGGGAATTTTCTGTGTTTGCAACTTTTCAGTAAATCTAAAATTTCTTTGAAGGTTTCTTTTAAAAATGTATAACTCAGTGAGTTAT